ATTTAGGGTGATTATTGGAAGATATGTACTTATTGCCGTTGCAGGCTTTAGGTTCATGGTTACCAAAAGTTCAACGTTAGCTTGTTTACTATCTTACTGTCTTTCTTAACTCGCTTATTGAGCTATTATAAACACTATCTGATGATTCTTTATTTCTCTCCCTTCTTATTCCTCCTCCTCCCTTCTTCATATGTTGGATGTTTTGTTCTGTGCTCTTTTTAGGAGTCCTCCCATCTAGAGCAGTCCCTCTAAAATACCCTGTAGAGGTGGTTTGTGGGAGGCAAATTCCCTCAACTTTTGCTTTTCTGGGAATTGTTTAATCCCTCCTTCATATTTAAATGATTATCGTGCTGGACACAGTATCGTTGGTTCAAGGCCCTTCTGTTTCATTGCATTAAATATATCATGCCATTCTCTTCTGGCCTGTAAGGTTTCTGTTGAGAAGTCTGATGATAGCCTGATGGGTTTTCCTTTGTAGGTGACCTTTTTTTCTCTCTGGCTGCCTTTAATACTCTGTCCTTGTCTTTCATCTTTGCCATTTTAATTATTATGTGTCTTGGTGTTGCCCTCCTTGGGTCTCTTGTCATGGGAGTTGTGTGTTTCTGTGGTCTGAGAAGCCATTTCCTCCCCCAGTTTGGGGAAGTTTTTAGCCATTATTTCTTCAAAGGCACTTTCTATCCCTTTTTCTCTCTCTTCTTCTTCTGGTACCCCTATAATGTGGGAGCTGGGGTGAGGGGCACTCGGGTCCCACCAGGCCATGGCTTGTTTCTTACCCCTTTCATGAGGCACTGGGTTCTCGCAGGTGTGGATGTAGTCTTGCTGTTGTCCTGTGTCTTCTGGTCTCTTTTTTAGGAAGAGTTGTATTTGTTGTATTTTGAAAAATAAATATGGTTTTGGGAGGAGATTTCTGCTGTTCTACTCAAGCCGCCATCTTGGCTCCGCCATCCTGGATCTCATTATTTTTTAACCTGGTCTGTCGTAAGTAGCCTTTTACCTGGCTTTATCCTCATCCTATCCCCAAATCTGTTGTGCTTACACATTTTTCGGTATAAATAGTTACTCTCCACAAAGTATTGGTCTAAATTCTTGGATGCTGTCAAGTAGTTTAAATATAGTAGCCTAACATTAAATGCCTCTATAACATGGCTGTTTGCTCCTGTTTCCAGTTTCATTTCCCACTCTTCCTGTTTTGAATCTTTTACTCTGGTGCTGCTAACCAGCTCACTATTCTTTATTTATGCTTTATTCAATTCCAAGCCGCCCTCACTCAGTTCTCTTTCCCTAGAATGTCTTTCCTTGCCATCTTTGCATGTCCCATTCCTGCCAATGAAAGGCCAGCCCAAACACATTTTTCACGTGTCCCTCTCCAGGTCCCTCCCCACCCCAAACACAGCTACCAAACAGAAATATGCTTGCTTCCCAAACCCAAAGCACATCCATCATGTTGAGTCTTGCTTTAGAGCTCTCTGTGTACCTCTTTTTATCTTCATTCTCTCCTCCATTGAAGAATCTTGAGAGCAGAGGCCATCTGCTACTCCTCTTTGTGGCTTGTCATGATCTCACTGTACATAGTCTGTGTTCAGTAAATATGTCCTAAGAAAAATAATTTGTTCACTTAAAAGAAAAACATTAACATTTGCAACTTTAAATAGCAGTTTCTTAAATGAAATGAGATCCAAGTTGAAAGACCTGATTAGTTCATTGGACTAGAGATTTTTCCATGTGTGCTGTGAATTTTCAGGCCTCATCATCTGCTATTTTTTTAGGAAATGTATGGACACGATTTCATTTGGCTAAAGATTTTTGGCATTCAAATAACAGTTTTAATACCCTGCAGTGCATTAAAAATATATTGTACAACTACATATTTTGGTTTAATTTAGGGAGTTGCTTCAGAAGCCATCCTATTTCATTTATTTTTATTCTTTTCTTTTGAAGAGAAAGCACGGGTGAGAGCTATTTATTTTGAAATTCTAAGAAGCAGTTAATGTTTAATAAATATACTTATTTTATGAGTGTATATGTGTGCATCAGTCTTGGATTTTAAATATTTTCTTTAGTAAAGGTGTTTCCTAATTGAATCTAAAGACAGTTTAGGTTTATATTTCCTTGAATGAGAAAAGTACATGTTTGAATTAACACTTCAGTGTTGTGTTCTCAAAATAAATTTACGTTTTTTATACTTGTCATATCATGTAGTTTCTGATGAAGGCATTTATGTGAATCTGGAAAGCTGTGGGCTAACTCACATATTTTATGATAAGGAGGCAGAGGGAAGTGATCAACTTTAGTTCCAAACATTACTGCCTTACTTGGAGAAGCCCTTGTATCATGAAAATTGCCCAGTTTTCTGGGAAAAGACAGTCTGATATTATCCTATAGGTCCAGGGTTCCACTTTCCCCTTTATTTTGCCCACATTGAAAAAATCTTAATTCTGGTATCATCCATTCAGTTTCCAAATTACTTTGATGAAGACTGGCAAACCTCTTGTTTGCTAATATATGACAGATACAACAAATCTATAAAAATATCTTTCCTACTTCCTTGTTCCAGGTAGTATTTTCTAATTGACTAGATTGGGTAAGTGAGATAAATCTACTTGCCAGCTTATTCCATCTAGAGGTCTCAGTATTGTATTACCTTGCTTCGTAGTACCAGCATTACATAGGTTTGTGGAATGCCCTTGGTAACTTGATTAGGCTGCAATTAAAAGAGCTGTGTCCTGCTATACCTTACCTTACAGTGGCTTAACCTTCTAAATCGGCCTACTTTCTGGTTACAAGAGTAGCTGCTTTCCTCGACCCCCTTTTTTATGTTGATAGCATGTAAGAAAATTTTCTCTTGAAATAATTTTTTCCCTCTGAAAAGTTAAAAAACATTATTGATTGTTTGGTTTATTTCAAGAAAACTGTCCCCAAATCCAGGGATATCTTAGACTGTATTAATATATCTTTTGTGTTTAAGAATAAGGATGCAGGTAGTCCTGATCAGCTTTGTGTTTGCCAGACCACCACAGAGTATTGCACTCAGCATAGGACACTGTATTTTATGAGGTAAACATGGTGCAGAGACTCCTATCCATTTCACATGACCAACAGATGAAGGAACTAGACATGTTTATTCTTGAAAAGAGAATCCTCAAGGGAAACCAGTCACCAGCTTCATGTATTAGTTAGCCTGTTATAGGAAAGAGAATTATTATGTCATTTCAGAGGGCATAAATAAGACCCATGGCTGTTAATTTGGTGAAATGACCCTAGAAGAGGGGCCCCATAGTCAAATGAATATGGCAAATGCATGTGTCATGTTCCTTTTCTGGAGATTTACAAATATATAATAAATATATATCAAGGGCCTAAGAAGTCATGCAGTAGTAAAATATCCTTTTCAGTTTGTTAATCCCAGCATGCCATAAATACTTTCCTGAGAACTGGTTTTCTAAGGAGCTCACATTTGGGTAGTGGTCCTCAAACTGTGGTAGTGGGACCAGCAGCACCAGCATTCCCTGGGAACCTATCATAAATGCAGCTTCGCAGCCCCAACCCCAGAACAACGGAACCAGAAACTCTAGGAGCTGGGCCCAGCCATCAGGGTGATACTAAATCATCTAAGGGATTCTGATGCCGCTAAACTGTGAGAAGCACTGCTAGAAAATACCATTTATTCTCCAACTCAGCAGCAGCCTTTTAGTTTACCTCATCACACTTGTCACAATTTTTATTTTTTAAGATTTCTTCTAATGATAGTCTGTAAGTCTATGGTTCATTTTTATAGATGGTCATCCTTCTGAAGTACAGAAGGAAACCCTTACAGAAGGCCTACTGTAGTTTCCAGTCTTGTGTACGTGCCATCCAGCTCACATCAGTTTGGATACTTTAAAGAATCCTAAGTAATGAATCCAGATCTTCTGTAAAGTGAAATACACATTTCTGTAATAAGCCTTAAATTCATTGCTATTATTGCCACTTTTAAAAGAGCACTTACTTTTTTTCATTTATTTCAAAGTGTTTTTTGCAAAGTAGACTTTTTTTTTAACATCTTAAACAATTTGTAATGTGCCTTCTCCCATGTCAGGAGTCTACAAGAGTAGGGAATTTTCTAATTTCTTTGTATTAACAGAGATCAAATTCTGGTAGCACTGTATTTATCTCTCCAAACAACCATGACACTTTTAGAAAAATGTGATTCAAGTGTAGTTTAAAGTGAATCTATGAATCTATATGTAAAAACAAAAATAAATCCATGAATCTATATGTAAAAATAAAAATAATTCCCTATAAGTGTACGTGTAACTTCGTTTTTTATTGGATATCATAAATGTGCATTTTGGATGTTTATATGAAATGCCTTTATAAGTCATGCAGAAGGACTTTCATACTTCTAAAGGACAGCAAAATGGGGTTGAACATATTAAAGTGTCACAATATATTTGTGCCTTTAGGACAAAATTATTAATATACCTTGAAATGAATTATGGCCAAGTTTATTTTCTGATATTGTCGTCATCTCTTCATATAAGTAAAGGTTCTCTGGGTTTATGCCATCAGGCCAATTGGAGTTCTGTCTACATTTAGTTAGGGGGACAAAGACTGATAGCCTGGAGACTGGATTTGACATGGCCTGCTGCTGTCCAGCAGCAGAATGCCTGGGGATACCGACTTAACAGTAATGAGTCTAAGCAGTGGTATCATTATTACTATATTTAAACACCCACGGTTGGCTGGAATGCACTCAGGTCTGAATATGACACAGTTAATTATGTCCCTGCCCCTGCCGAGGGCACCTGCTACTGGAAGGCCACACGCCACACTCACGTGGGGGAGGAGGATGGCAGACATGGTGCTTTGGAGTGAAGTGTTTACTTCCTGTTACCTCCAGAAAGGGATTTATGGTGTTGGTTATGTTTTCTAAAGAATATCTAGCAGTTTTCATCTTTTAAATTAAGTTTCCACATGGTTTTTTATTACAATTTTATCTTAACCATTATATCTCTCTTTAGTTTTCCTCACAGGAGAAAAAGCCAATTCAGTATTAAAACGCTACCCACGAGCTAATGGACTCTTTGAAGAAATTAGACAGGGCAACATTGAACGTGAATGCAAAGAAGAAGTCTGCACATTTGAGGAAGCAAGAGAAGCTTTTGAAAATAATGAAAAAACTGTAAGTATACTGGCTATTAAAAAATTTTTTTTCACAGATTTGCTATCTTTTTTGAGGTATATTTAAAACCTGCATTCCTAAACTGTACACATTGCTGTCAATTAAAAATGAGCTTTATGAAGAACTGTGAAAATACCACCTAACAGTACCTGTGGTGGAGAGCCAGGTTCACTTCCCAGTACGCTGGTCTGCTTCGAGGGCCTGTCTCCACACCACTCTCCTGAGCTGAGATTTATCATCTTGGCAAGATCGGGGGAACATCTGCTTCATGTGAGGCTTTGTCCAGAAAAGTAGAGAATGTGATCACCTTGCTCTGTCGCATCAGAGTGAAAGAGTGGAGGAAGCTAATAGATGCTGACCCTTAAACATTTGACTTCTTGTACCAAAGGAAAGACATATTCCCACCCCCTCCCACTGTGAGAGTGCTCTTTGCCTCTATTTTCTCTAGACCACATGTTGTTCCAGGACAGCATGGATGGGAAAGTGCAAGGCAGCGGTGTGACCGATATGGGCCTGCTCTACAGCTGGACATTTCCTTACCAGAGGCCGTCATGATATAAAGCTCCATTCCTGTGCACCACAAGAATAACACTAGATAGTAAACAAATGATGTCACATGTGCTAGAGGAAAGTCATAGAATTCAAGAACAGTGGATGCAGATGTTTTAAAGAAAGAGGGTTTGCACTCTTGTTAACATAGAGAAGGACCCAGGGATAAGAGGAAGTAGCTAATAGCTAGTGGCATTGAACATCTTTTCATGTGCTGCTTTTCCATTTTCTCTTCTGTGAGATCTCCCATCATGTATTTTCTTATTTTCTAATTGAACTGTTTTCTTTTACTACTGAGTTCTGAGAGTTCTTTATATGTTCTGGATACATATCCATTGTCAAATAACATGTTTGTAGCCTATTGATGTGTACGTGTTAATTATATATCTTACTGCCTCACTGACCTCTTTTACTGCTTTCACGGGGAAAAGTGTATTTAATGCTTACCTCTCTGGCCCTTACGTATCTCAGTGCTTTAGTGTATCCTTTCCTGCCTGCAGACACAGGATACTGCCTTTCATCAATCTCTGGAGCAAATACAAGAAACTCTCAGCAGTTGTCTGTGTATTCCAGCATCACCTTTTCCTCTCCATAGACTCATTCTCATTAGCCTCCACACCTTTTAGGAAACTTTTAGATTTAGTCACTCTCTTCACCCTACATCCCTATCCAGCAACCACCTCTATTCTTGAAACTGCTCTGGTGCTATGTCTGTACTCACTACCCTGGTGAGCTGAGCTTTCCTAGTCTCATGGCTTAAAGTGCTAATGACTCCCAGATTTACATCCAGGAGGACTATGCTGAACTGTATACCTGTATGACTAACTGCCTACTCCACATCTTCTATTGGAATTGAATATGTGTTTCAAACTAAACATTGACATATCTGTGTCCTTTCCCAAAAAATGTGCTCCTACCCCAGCGTTTCTGATCTCATTAAGTGGTAAATATCCATCCATGTCTTTGCTAGGCCCCAAGCCTTGCTGTCATCCCTGACTCTTCTCTCTTGTTCACAGCCACACCCCATCTACCAATAGTGCTCATTCTGAAAATATATTCACAGTCTAGCCTACTCTACTAGTCTCTCTACTTACTACCACTTTATAACAAGCCACCATCACAGTCTCACCTGTATGAATTCTTGACCTCCTCTTCAGAGTTGATTCTTAAAGCAGTAGGCTAGACTGATCCTTTAAAGTGTCTTTTCCATAATGGCTTTTCTGTCTCCCTCAGGAAAAGTCAGCATGTTCAGTCACCCACAAGGCACTGCCCTATCAGTCCCTGTCCCTCTCCACTCCACACCTCCACTGTGGCTGCGGACACTTCTTTACCACATCTCCTGTGACCCACCATTCTTTTTTTTTTTAATGTTACATATTCTTTTTTTTAATTTAATTTAGTTTTTTTTAATTTTGGTATCATTAGTCTACAATTACATGAAGAACATTATGTTTACTAGGCTCCTCCCTTCACCAAGTCCCCCCCACATACCCCTTCATAGTCACTGTCCATCTGCGTAGTAAGATGCTGTAAAATCACTACCTGTCTTCTCTGTGTTGCACAGCCCTCCCTGTGCCCCCCATGCACTATACATGCTTATCGTAAAGCCCTCTTTCTTTTTCCCCACCCTTATCCCTCCCTTCCCACCCATCCTCCCCAGTCGCTTTCCCTTTGGTAACTGTTAGTCCATTCTTGGGTTCTCTGGTTCTGCTGCTGTTTTGTTCCTTCAGTTTTCCTTTTTTCTTATACTCCACATATGAGTGAAATCATTTGCTACTTGTCTTTCTCCACCTGGCTTATTTCACTGAGCATAATACCCTCTAGCTCCATCCATGTTGTTGCAAATGGTAGGATCTGTTTTTTTCTTATGGCTGAGTAATATTCCATTGTGTATATGTACCACATCTTCTTTATCCATTCATCTACTGATGGACATTTAGGTTGCTTCCATATCTTGGCTATTGTAAATAGTGCTG